GCGCGACGTTTGTTAGTGTCGCGGTCAGTGGAGGAAACAACGACCATGTGAACTCAACTCGGGCAGTCAGTCAAAGGGACAAAGTGAGGTTCCGCCAGAGCTGCTACTGCTGCTGCTGCTGCTGCCTGTCCGTCAATTCCCCTAAAACTACTTTGAAATACAGTTGTTTCCTATTTCAACAACCAAAACAATTCCGTCTTCAGAGTTCCTGCTGCTATTTGTTCCCAACGTTGCGTCTATTCAGGTCCTTTCGCCCACCGTTGGAGTGTGTTGCAGCGATCTGCGCTCAGGCACCCGCGCCGTCAGCAGATCCTTTGTCGCGCCACGCCGTGCCACCAAGGCAAGCAAGTTCAAACTCTAGCCAAAGTTTCTTTCCGTGGCACCTCTCAGCCTTGCTTTATCGTTTTGCAGTGATTATCTGCTATTTTCTCATCCACCGTCAACTTCGAAGTTGCCTTTCCACACCATAACAACGATCACATCCACGTCCCCGACCTCGCTACATATTACTTACCAGCAGATCCGAATAGCAAGCCTTGTTGGCTAAGTGGTATAGCGTCTCACTAGTACCTAGTGACATGAGAAGATCGGCGGTTCGATTCCGCCACGAGGCAATGCTAGAGTAGCACCACAGGTGTGTAATCTTTTGCATTTTGTTTATGGCCCATGAAGATCTGAGTTTGGTGGACGTGATGCTTGTCTGTCAATTGAATTTGTTTTGTTCTATTAGGAAAGACGGAAGGATACCAAGTTGCCTGCCAGATCAACTCATATTAGCCACGCGCGACGGTTTATTCGCCCGCCTTTGCCAATGCATTCATCTCTTCGGTCTTGTTCACCATTGCCTCTTCATTCATGCGATCCAGTCCGGGCAGCGTTGCTTCCCCATCTCGTTTACCACAGCGCTCCCGTGTGGAGCTCACATTGTGGTCTCGTAAATGCTAACGCATACAGTTTGAGCGTTCGGAATAGAGGCGGACGGTTTGCTTTTGATACCGAGGACTGGCTGTTTTACTAGAGAAGAGTTACCCTGATACAAGGTTTCTAGAAAGGCAGCATGTGTATTGATGAGATTGGCGGGTGCAGCTTGATTTTCGGGACGCTAGGATGTCCCCGTATCAGTGGGCCCGCTATGCATCCGGTTGCCTGCTGTTCATCCGTGGTCTCAGTCCAGATCCGATTATTTCGGAATCATGGACGGGCCACATTTGTAAGAACGAGAGTTAGAAATGGCAAATCTAAGTGTGGTAAGGCTGAGTTGAACAGGAATAATAGTTTCACCGTGAAATAATGTGCAGCAGTCTTACCACGAAGTTATTCGGCGGGAAACCATTGACCAGTCAGAATCTCTTTCTATCTACACGGCGAGAAAGGTGCCTAGTCATGCCAGAGAAGCGCGAAAATGGGTGACGGCGATGAGTGTGTGACGTTTGAACTTGCTCTACGAAAAGCAGAGTCTTTCGCTTCGCCCGTACTGCATACACGCACCAGAAAGTCCGTCATGCTAGTGGGTGACTTGAGCCTATTGTGAAGAGGACGATGCCGATAAAGTAAGTCTCTCAGTCAATTCACCGGGCTGCTCTGTGTATGCCACATCACTCCTCCCCTAGCTGGAAGCTTCAAACCAGCAATTGATGTTTGTGGAAACCAAGAACTCTCATCAAAAATCATGACTGGGCGATGATCTCACTTGTACCACAAAACGGTCGAATGAAGAGCATCTTTTTACCAATATCACAGATGAGCCCATCCGCATCACCCAATCATCTCGAAGGAACCTGATGCAGCAGTGGCTCGGTGAGAGAGAAGCTTGGGCCATCGAGGGGCATTGGAGGGGCACGGCGGTACGTATCTTGGACAGGTTGACGTGGTTCCGCTTATTAGCCGACTACGCGTCATGTCATTGGCCGGGGGGCTGGAGCTTCTGCTCCTTTCTCCACCCTCCGGACCACAGCTCCGGAGTACACGGCAGGCAAGCGGGCAGGTAGCCAGGGGCTCGCGGCTTCTTTGGGACACGGCAATGTCGACTCTGACATCAACATGGCGAAATATCTACACTTTCTCCTAACTCTTCGCGGAACACCTGGCAGACGATCTACTGTAGTGCTGGTAGGCCAGCCTGACTCTGGAGAATGTCCCGCCAATGGGACAAGCAGTTGGACGCCTGAATGGTACGCAATTTGAAGGGGCAGTAGTCGTTCGCGACTGACTGGTAGCACAAGATTGACGTCAGACAGGCCCGAGTAGATGGGACTCCATCAGGAAACAGACCTGGACGAACGGGAATCTCCATTGGTGAGGCTTGCTTTATATAGGGCGGGCTTCGTTCTGGGGTTTGCTCGCCCTCCTAAATTCTGATCTCTTTCCCGCCTCTCTCTCAAGGATACACATGCCGTCTTTCTTCTCTCCTTGAACCATGTCCAGCATCGTACCCGATACCCTCAAGAAAGCTGGCAACGTAATCATGGGCCAAGGAAACAAGAAGAACGCTCAGCTCGCTGAGAACATGGTCGAGGTCAACCCCAAGGCTCCCATGACCACCGACTTTGGCACAAAGATTGAGAACACGGATGACTGGCTGAGGGTCTCCAATAATGACAAGACCGGACCCATGCTCTTGGAGGATGCTATTGCGAGAGAAAAGGTTCGTCTTGACCTCCTGCTTGTAACCGCAATCTGTCATTAACACCCGCACAGATCCACCGCTTCGACCACGAGAGGATTCCCGAGCGAGTAGTCCACGCCAGAGGAGCTGGTGCTTTTGGAACCTTTAGACTATTTGAAAGCGCCGCAGACGTGTCAAATGCCGGCGTCTTGACCGATACATCCCGCGAGACCCCCGTCTTCCTCCGCTTCTCCACTGTCCTCGGTAGCAGAGGCAGTGCCGACACTGTCCGCGATGTCCGCGGCTTTGCTGTGAAGTTCTACACCGAGGAGGGTAACTGGGACATGGTTGGAAACAACATTCCCGTCTTCTTCATCCAGGACGCTATGAAGTTCCCCGACGTCATCCACGCCGGCAAGCCCGAGCCTCAACTCGAGTTCCCCCAGGCTCAGTCTGCCCACGACAACTTCTGGGATTTCCAGTACCTTCACACCGAGGCCACACACATGTTTTGCTGGGCTATGTCTGACCGCACCATTCCTCGCTCATATAGAATGATGCAAGGCTTTGGTGTCAACACCTACACGCTCACCAACGACAATGGCGAACGGCACTTTGTCAAGTTCCACTTCACCCCCGAGCTTGGGGTCCACTCACTCGTATGGGATGAGGCACTAAAGCTGGCCGGTCAAGATCCCGATTTCCACCGCAAGGATCTCGCCGAGGCCATCGAGAATGGCGCTTTCCCTAAGTGGAAGTTCGGTATCCAGGTTCTACCCGAGTCCAAAGAGCACGACTTTGACTTTGACATTCTCGACGCCACGAAGGTCTGGCCCGAGGAGCAGATCCCCATTCGCTACATCGGCGAGCTGGAACTGAACAGGAATCCCGACGAGTACTTTACCCAGACCGAGCAGGTCGCGTTCTGCACCAGCCATGTCGTCCCCGGCATCGGATTCTCAGACGACCCTCTCCTTCAGGGCCGCAACTTTTCTTACTTTGATACCCAAATCACCCGCCTCGGCATCAACTGGCAGGAACTGCCCATCAACAAGCCGGTATGTCCAGTCATGAACTTCAACCGTGACGGCGCACACCGTCAAACCATTACAAAGGGCAACGTCAACTATTGGCCTAACCGTCATGAGGCCGTTCCTCCGGCAAACCACTCCAAGGTTTCCGGCGCCTACGTTGACTTTGCCCAAAAGGTGGAGGGCATGAAGCAGCGCAGCAAGAGCGCCAAGTTCAAGGACCACTTTAGCCAAGCCCAGCTCTTCTTCAACAGTCTGTCGCCAATCGAAAAGACGCACGCCGTCAACGCATTCGCGTTTGAGCTAGACCACTGCGAGGACCCCATTGTGTACGAACGCATGGCCCAGCGTCTTGCTGACATCGACCTGGGTTTGGCTCAGGCTGTTGCCGAGATGGTCGGCGCGACATCGCCTGAGAAGGCGAGCACACCCAACCACGGCAAGAAGGCCAAGGGTCTCAGCCAGCTGGAATTTGAGCCCGAGACACCCACCATCAAGTCGCGCCGCATCGCAATAATCATCGCCGACGGCTTCGATCCTGTCGCGTTTGGTGCCATCAAGGGTGCTGCCGCGGCAGCTCAGGCTACGCCGATGATCATTGGCACCCGTCGCTCCGAGATCTTCCCTGCCGGCACATCCAAGACGGCTGGAAACGGTGTCGTTCCTCATCACCACCTTGAAGGCTTCCGATCGACCATGGTCGATGCCATCTTCGTGCCCGGTGGTGCAGATTCAATCAAGACTCTTTCCAAGAACGGCAGGGCTGTCCACTGGATTCGCGAGGCCTTTGGTCACTTAAAGGCCATCGCTGCCACAGGCGAGGCCGTTGACTTCATCCAGACTGCCATCTCGCTTCCCGAGGTTTTCTTGTCTAGTGACAGTAATGTTGCGGAAAGCTACGGCGTTGTCACGATGAAGTCGGTCCAACCTGAGAGCCTGAGGGAGACTGTCGAAATCGTCAAGAATAGCAAGGGGTTCTTGGAGCAATTCTTTTACACCATTGCTCAACACCGCGTGTGGGCGCGTGAGCTCGATGGACTCAGTACTCAGCTGGCGTACTGATCCGATAACTGACGATGCGAACGGGAAATGGCGCTATATAATATGATTGTCATATAATGAACAACTGATGATGACTTTTATCTTGCAAGCCCCTGTAGTTTCGTGATCTGACTTGAGTCTACGAGCCGGAGTAGTCGAGAAGGCTATATTGCTTTGATGAAAGATGTGTTATTATGGAGGCCAACGCCATCATCATATACATCAAACAAGCCTCAGTATAACCTCACCAATGTTCTTAGGTAACAGGCTGTATTAACGTATATTCCTTTCTACTCAATACTTCTACCACAACGCCAGCCAGCTTAGGTGCTAGCAGCAGCCGTTGTCGTCGCCGGAGCCGTAGTCGTAGCAGCAGCCGTCGTCGCCGCGACCGTTGTTCCACTCGCCGACGAGCTCCCGCTTCCCGACGCGCCACCTTTAACCACAGTCGCCCTCACAACCTGACCAAGCGTATTGAAGACGATATTCACCAACGAACTAAGCGGCTCGTACGAGTATGTCTTTTGCGTCAGCCCGTTACCGAGATCCTGCTGGGAGCCCGTAAAGGTCATGTTCTGCTGGTAGTTGCCGATGATGGAGCTCAGGGCGGAGGCACCCGCGTTGGTGACCTCTTGCACAATATTTCCCAGGTTGTCAATCAAGAAGTTAATCTTGGAGTCGCCGTTGACGATGGAACCCAGAAGGCCGTCCACAGCACCAATGACGTCGTCGACGACATCGCCGACGGTGTCGAGGAGGTTGATGAGTAGAGGGTTCAGATCCAGCGAGGCGAGCGTGCGGTTGACAATGTCGACGAGGTTGCCGAGGCGGATGACGAGCTCGAGCTCGGCTTCGACGTCGACGATGGTGATGTTGACCTTCTCGATGCCGACTTGTACGCCCGCGTTGATGGTGACGAGCTTGGCGACCTCGGCGGCGAGGTTCACTTCGGCGGAGAGGTTGTCGACGTCAAGCTCGATGCGGCCGACGGATAGCTCGGGGACTTTGAGGTAGACGTCTGCTGGCGGGGTTGTGGTGCTGCTTCCTGCGGCGGTGGTCGTGCCGCTGCCGCTGCCGCCGCCGCCGCCGGCGTTGCCTCCGGAGTTTGCGGCGGTGGACGTTGGGGTCGTTGGTGTTCCTGAAGCCTCTGGCGTTCCGGAGGGTTGTTCTGCTGCGACGGAGGTGGTTGCTTCTGTGGTGTCTGTCGCGGTGGGAGTTTGAGCTGCGACGAGGGCGACGAAGAGCGCCAGCAGGAGGGAGATGATGGAGGTCCTCATTTTGGATGATTAAAAAGGTGATGGGCTTTTGCAAAGGAATGTGTTGGGTTGGATTGGTTTGTGTCAAAGGAGTGGACGAGGAGCACCAGGTGAGCGAGACTGGGAACGCTGGTGAGCTGTGGGAGGGGACGAGGCCGCGATGGGAGGGCTTGCTAGGGGGATATATGGCGGCATCGTGGGAGGAGGAGATGGAGGTTGACAAGTTACGTCGTTTTGTCCCAGCATCAGACCTCCCCCTCCCCTTCCATCCCTGCTCAACGCGGAGTCTACATGACTACATGTAGGTACGTAGGTAGAGTGTCATGGGTTGAGGCCCATCATCCATGTCACTAACACACACATGGGATGGAGCATCCGCCCTGGTGTAATGGGGCCGTTGGTCTCCATATCTAGGGCGGATATGGGCAGCGGTCCCGAAGAGGCGGTGCCCACACCTCCTTTTGTCCCATGGAGTTCCATTGCCCGGCAGTCGAACATCTCGATGCTTATAGGGGGGGGAAAGAGAAGTGCTGATTTGTGAGACAAGGTGACAAGCTGCAAGCCACCGGGCCGAAGGGCTGCATGTGGACGGGCATGTTCAGAAAAACCTTGGAATATTCCATGTCTGTGTGGCCCCCCGGGTTCAGATGGACCATGGATCGATGGGAACATTTGGGAGATTGCCTTCTTGTCCCATTTAGCCATTTGGTGATTTGACCTCTCGGCTCATACCCCATTCTATCATGCCTTGAGCCCACCAGCGTTGGCGATGTTGCATCGTGCGCGAAATAAAAGTGACAGCACTGCGTCACTTGACGGGGGGAGATGGCAGACCAGTCGGGAGATTCGCTGGGCAACTGGGGCGCCGCGTGCAGAGAAGACTTTTGAAAACATGACCTGGCCCTGTTGAATGTGGATAGGAGAAAGAAACTCACCTTGCCAGCTGTCTCCTAGGATCTGGTGTTGAAAGGGGAGGGGTTGTTGAGTTAATGTCTGCTCTTGATGCAGTGACAATCCCGAAGCCTGGCTCGTCATCGGATCTGGCACTCGCTGGATCCCCTCCCCCCTCCTCCACTTCCCTTCTCCTCATTAGATACTAGACAATACTTGTATCGTTTGCTTCCCCGGCATCGTTGGATTTGCAGCCCTTTGCTCTCGTCCGCGGCCCCTTCACTCCCTTCGTCTTTCCATCTCCAAATCGGCCTGCAGCGCCACTACAGTCACTCCTTTGCAAACCAAGACAAGAAAGCCTCTTACACTCTCTTTTGACCATGATCTTCTTCATCACCAGGGCTCTCACCCTCCTCACCCTCTCGACCCTGACCCTCGCTCAAGATGAGCCAAAGGGTGACGGCTATGTGGGCTACGAGCTCAACCGCCGCGGTGACAACGAATCAGCCGTCTACGAGACAGCCAACACAAAGACCGGTATCGACACGCTCAACCCGATCCCGGACGTGTACCTCAATGCGTCCGTATCAGTGGGCGAGATCAGCATTGAGGTGCAAAACATCACCGCCAAAGTGAACCTCGACGCCAAGGTCCTAAACCTGCTGCACTTCCAGGCCGGCGTGGACGCCAGCATCGACCGCGTCAAGCTGGGCATCTACAACGTCTCGGCCAAGGTCGAGCTCGAGGCGCGGCTGGAGAACGTGGTCAAGATGGTGGACGATGTGCTCACCAGCATCGACCTGAACCCCATCATCGCAACACTGGGCGACACCGTCAGCGACATCGTCAACAAGACCGTCGACGTCGTCACGGATCCCGTCGAGAGCAGCGCCGCCGCGTCCGCAGTAGCGAAGCGCGACCTCACGTTCCGGCTGGAGCACAATATCCTCTACTCGGTCAACGACTTCTCGGGCCGCACGCACACGAACCGTGTGCTGGCGCAGAACGGGAGCCTGTTTGACGTCTACCTCGACAACAGCGGCAACGAGAGCGGGCGCAAGGTGGTTGGGTTCTACAGCCGCGACATGACGTTTAGCGGGCACAACAAGACCATTTCGATTGACGGGCAGGTCAAGGAGTTTGAGCTGCAGTACGTGTATGCGCCGTATCCCGGCCTCGAGGCGTTTAGCAACATCTACCTGGATACCACGGGCAAGGTCGTGAGGACCAAGATTGTGGCTGAGGCGGAGGGAGGGGGCACCGCGACGATTAGCAACGATGATGAGAGTAGTCTTTAGAGTGCCCCAAATGTAGCGACGCGGGATTTGCGAGGCATTGGGCATAATGGAAATGAGAGTTAGGGACATGCGAGTTACCGATTGCTGTCAATCGAGATTTCGATATTTCCATATGACTGCCTATGACATGATGGTGAACCAATGCGATTGTGGACGTTGATTTGCCGTCTGAGATGGTGAGGCGTGCCAGTCTGGAAGCAGTCAGACCTCCGACGCCTGGATCGTTCGATTGGGACCGCTCCGGGGAGCCGCTTCTGGGACGGGGGCTCGTGGGACAGGGTGGGATATAAGAGGCGTGATATCGGCCGGGGTGACATTTTGGGAGCTGAAGAGGACAAGAGTTGAAGACGTTAGTATTCTCTCCGACTCTCGAGTCTCTCTCTTGACGCCATGTAGAATGGAACGCGGTCAAAGCTGCGAGCGCTACAAATCAGACGGTAAACCAGGCGGTACCGAAGGTGTATTGTGTAGTCGCCGGCGATAAAGGAGAATGACGTTGTGACGTCGTTACGTTTGGATGATATGAACATTGTGCTATTAAATCCAGTAATAGCAGAAACAGCCGCTTTCCGTTATGCCCGAGCAACCATCGAGGAACAAATCCTCCGCAGACTGTAACGCTCAGAGTTTTCGGGCTGGGCCTTGTTCGAAAGGGCCGGACGGGAGATCTCGGCCCCCATTTGCCATTCTCTTTTTTTGATGAACCTGGCGGAGAGACGCACGGCGCGCAATGAGACCATGGCTCACCTCTTTTGTGAAGTTGCTTATGAAAGTTATGAAATTGAATGCGACTCTGTTGGCCACTTTGGTTGCGACTCTTCTCCGCCGTGTTTGCCGGCAAGGCAAAATGTGGAAAGTGTCACTGTCAGAAACGGACTGCAGAGACCGGTACCGCAGCGTCGCACCCGTTGATGGCCTGGACGATTCAATGTGCCGTCGACTGCAACCGCAACGCATTGGTAGAAGCAATATCAAAGCCTCTTTGGATCGACTCATCAAACTCACTAGTACTAGTGGTGTGGCTAGTGCCTTGGTCGCCAACGGCTTTTATGGAAAGCTCGCTAACAAAGTCGCTTCGAGCTGCCGCTTAACTTTGAGCTGTTCTAACTTCCAACGGTTGACGCTAGCATCAATGTGTGTGTCATTGCTCATCTTTTCTTCTCCTGGAAGATGGTGTGTGTGGCTGGGCCAACAGTGCCCCTCGTGCCCCTGAACAGCATGTCGATTTACCTTTAGCCGTACATCAGAGAGCCCACACGCTCAGTTTACCTAAAATCTCTTTAGCATTCGAGCCACTGCAGGAACCAACTGTCAACGTGCCAACTTTGCCAACAAACTCTTCCTCGCCGTGCTTCTTTGCTTGATCAACGGAGACAGCAGCGGATGAAGGTGAACGGTCCAGCTCTCTTGACTTAATCCGTCAGACCCCCGATGAACGAAGTAACTGCGGATATGGCACCTTACTCATAGACAAACTGGCCCACTGATCAAGCAGATTATAGCTCAGTATCCGCAGACTCCAGGGTGACCCATCCGTCGTCCCCATAGCGGCCTTTCCCCGAACTTTGATCGCGTGGTTCGTGGTCCCGTCTGCCCACGGCGATTGGGCCAAACCCAGATTTACGACGGGAGTCTAGGCCCTCTCTAGGCTCTATCCGCCTAGCGGAACGGCCTTTTCTTGACCTTGTCACGCTTGCCCATTGTTGGCAGATGCAGAAATCAAGGCACAGGAAATTTGGCATGTTTCATCCCTACCATTTTGAGGGGGTGAAAGATGGATCTGGATGAATGCCGTTTTCGTCCGCGTGCGTCTGACCCGGCCGTCGGCAATGCGGCATCCAGGGCGCATCTCATCCTCTTCTCAAGTTGGGTGCGTGTGATGCGTCCTTTGTTATGCGATGCAACCCCGCGACGTGACGAGATGGCAAGAGGGAGAAGAAACTTTGGTACCGGGCAGTTATTATGCTTGATTATCATTAGTTAAAGCTAACTGCCCCTATCCACGTTGCCTTGAGATGATCTGATGTTGGCAAGAGACGCGATCCTCTGACGCTATGTCACGGCATATCAGCCAACACATTCCAATAAATCCATCCTGGGTTGGACTGCAACATTGCAACGTCCAATGTTTGTTCGCTGCACTGCCCGTTCCTATCATCTCATTTCGAGAGAAGGCTAAAGTGCGGACAACCATACGGATGAAGCCCGGCGATTGAGTTCCCGCTTGGCAACTCTCATCTTTCCCCAATCTGTCGTCATTCAGATGGCATGCTTGCGAATCGCGGTGCCGGGGTGGCACACGTTGTTGTGAATGTAACCTCACATGGCCGATAACGCAGACCTGAGCTGAGGTGCACCATCCGTGCTGGTGATGGAGATGATTTTTCTGCCCAACGCCCATGAGTAGTCGTGTGTGCGTTCAATGGAGAGGTAGACCGCCGGTATATTTAGCAAGATTTGAACTAGGTCCTTGATGTGATATTTCCCTCACTTTTGAGTTTGCGATGCCACTATTTGATCCTCCCTGAAGTGGGATTACATGCAAGCTGCAACATTCAGCTATAGCTATGAGAAAGCACCAGAATCACACTGAAGTTAATGTCTCACCATCTCTGGTTTACAAACTAGAAGGCACAGCATTCACTGCATTCACATCAACTTGTTCCGGTGTTGATATCTGTGTTTAGCTTGTCTTGGCAACGACTGGAGACGTTCACCGCGTTATTTGGTGACTTCAGGCATGTTCTCACGCGCACTTACAGTAAATGATGTAGTTAAATCTTGTATCAGTCTCCATTCAGTCGACTGCTACTCTCAAAGAGTTAGGGACAA